CGATGGGAAAGGGGAGGGAGAGGATGCAGGCAGCGAAGGGAAGAAGTTTGCTCATGAAAATGCTGATGATGCTTGTTTGCAATCCCGGACTTTCATTTTATGGTGTGTTCTTTTCCTTCCTCTCCTAAAGAAAACGCGATACTGGTCTGGGTATGTGAAGTGAATTATTCAGTAAATGTGTTTAAAAAGGAGCAGAAAACAGTCATGAAGTGCTGGGAGTGGGGGAGGCAAGAAGAGAAGCAACAGCAAATGTGTGTAAGTAAACATGTCTACTGCAGAGTGTTTCAGGTGTAAGAATTCCTGGTGCTATTTATTTATACATGGGAGCTCGAAGAACTCGGTCTGTCACAACACAGCTGATTCAAAGGGGTTACAGTTCTGATTGAAATGGAAGTTTGCTTTCTTCTCTTTCTCTTTTTTCCTCTCCAAGCTGTGCACACTCTATATGATTTACATATATTTTTAATTAAAAGTAATTCTAATGAACAGAAGAGGTATATCCATGTGTCAGCAACTGAGAACGCGGGTGGGAACGTGTGGGAACGCCGCTATGTGCTGGGGAGGGATTGTAGACAGGTATCCAAAGCCATGTAGCTAAGGAGAAAGCAATGGTCCCTACCTAGCTGTGCTTTCATACTCTTGTGTGCCAATTTGTGTCTAATAAATACCAAATGCACTCAACAGCGAGGGACCTGCCCACGTAGTTTTAATTTCTTTATGTTTTGAGGTGGTCTTTTTTAGTTCTTTTTGCTTGATACCCATACATTTGATTTCTTATCTGTTTATGATGTACTGCAGGAGGTGCAGCATCCCAGCTGTCAAGCAGTGATGGGTTGAACTTGAGCCTGCTGTGTCTAGGGGTGGGTGTTTGTCCACTACAGAACTGCCTGGGTACCCCAGGTCCTTCCCACCTGACTCACCCCAAGGGATATGCTCTCCTTGGGGTTACTTTCCCATCAAGGCAGATTTAGAAGCAACCATAGGAATCCAGGTGGGTGGCATCAGGAAGCCCTTGTGGAGGCTGAGCTACCTCTCATTCCCATACAGGGGTTGTTGGGGGATGCCTGGCCCTGGGGAAGTGTAAGGCTGTGTCACAGCCTTGACAAAGGAGGGGAGGATGCTGGATGCTACATGGATTGGAAACAAGATGGGAAAGTCATCTTCAGAGAAATAAAGAGATTGCATCCAGCCAAAAGGTCTCCTTGGTGAGCCATGGCCGCCCTAAGAAGTGGAGGGTGGGAATGAGCTGAGGAGGTGTCCCCAGCCTGTCCCCCCAGCAGCAGCCCATCTGGCTGTGGCAGCAGCACTGCAGTGCGTGGCTTTGCACCACCTTCAAAGGTGATGCTCCCACCTTGCTGTCCTGTGGCAGGCAGGACCTGGGAGATGATGTCTGCTGGGAATATCCCAGTGCTGGCTACAGCACAGCTTTCATCACTCAGCTGTCTCTGATTTTACTGTCTTCTGCTTGCAACAACTGGGTTTAATAAATGTTGGGTTAGACAGAGTCAATATGATGCTGTGCTACCCTAGGAGCTCACTCTGGGTATCGGCTACGTTTGCCAGCAGAAGGAGACATAGACATCTTGCAACCCTTCTGCGGGCATGGCTGGGACCTCAAGTTATACCCTGGGCTGTTTGTCTTCATGGAGACACTGCCAGGGAATTACTCAAGCATTGCATTGCTCAGTAAATCACATGCTGTCTCTCCCGAATATGCAGCTGGCCGAGATGAATGAATGAGTAAATTGCATTTGGAGTTAAGGAATAAAAATGACACTGTATTGAGCTGTCAATTGCATTGTACTTCCCAGGCCCTGTTATCCCAGTGCTGATCATGTAATCATCTTATCACTATATGGTCATTTACATATAATTAAATGGCCAATGGTTACTCTGGAAGTAAAGAGGTCTTACCAGAAATGTGTGTCATGCATCTTAAAGGGTATTAAGGAAACTAAATTCACATGTTTAATCACTGCTCAAGCTTTGGAAGGCCTCAAGTTTTCAACTTGACTGATTTCCTCACATAATTCTTTTGTCTCTTCAGGGAAATGCTGAGGCTCTTTGGTGGAGCTTGTGATGCCCTGATGGGCTCTGATGGCTGGGTTTTGGCTGCTGAAAAGCCAGGTAGAACCCCATGGCATGTGGAGCCATGATGGCATAAGGAGCAAGGAGGCCATCAGTGGCAGGAGGATGGACCTGTCATTAGCAAAATCTGGGATGCAGGAAAAGATGGATGGGAAGATGTTATATAGCCTTCTCCTCGGAGAGTTTGTTACTGGCTACTGCTTCAGTATGGCATTCCTGGTCTTTAGTCTTGATGGAGCCCAGTTGTACCATATAAGCACAGCCTGCTCTTTCAATTAGATGAGCAGGACTGTGAGGAATCAGATAGGATGTGAAAGAAAAAGTGACTTGTTCAAAGGCCCATGGTAAATCCCAGCCTAGATGTGAACATGCCTGGCCTATGTTGAACCTTGAGAAACAGCTTGTACTTGTTCCTAGCTGGTGCAAAACAATACTGGGAGCTGTTAAGCAGGGTGTTCTCTCCCTTTGGTTGTGATTTTCTGTTACAAACAGGCTGAAGTGATTTTCTTTATTCTTACTGACTTTATTCTTACTTCTTATTCTTACTTCTTTATTCTTGACTTTATTCTTCTTTCCTTTATTCTTATTTCCTTTATTCTTACTGATTTATTCCTTAACAGAGTATGATAACGATGATGATGATAATTAAAAGAAACAAAAAAGTAGGGAAAAACAGGTAGGAATTACTGTAATTGAAAGAACTGGACAAAAGAGGTTACAAAATCCACCCTATTCAGAGCTAAATTCATCCATAAGAGGTCTCGAAACCTGAGGAAGACCATCCAAGCATGGTAAAAGGAATGGAGCATGGCCACTTCTTGCCTCCAAGTCCCAGGAGCCATAAAACAATCCTCAGCACTGCCTGGTGGCTTCCCATAAACACCACTGAGGGTGCTGAGAACGGGCTGGACCTGGAATGCTCTGTTGTGGGCCTGGGGAGAGGGATGGTGGAAGCATCCAGTAGAGCTCTACTTGTTGGGAAGTGAACCATGTCCCTGGGTGAGGAGGGAGCTGGGCTCCAAAGGGAATGCTGCAAAGCCAGTGGAGGAGGAGGGCTGCTGTGGCAGGTGAAGGCAGAAGACCTCTGTACCTCAAACCTCTCCCTTTTGGTGAGGAGCCTTGGAGCAAGCTTGCTGCTCCGGTAGCAAGTAGCCATGAAACATCCCCAGGCAGAAGAAAAACAGGGCATTATGGCTGAACTGCAATAAATAAGTGCAGGCTGCGCAGTTCCTTCAGGAGGAGAAGGAGAGAAAGAAACCCAAGCTCTGCTAAAAACATCTCTTGAAGAGTGAACGCCAGTTCCCAGGCTGTGGTCACAGCATTGTTTTCTCAGCTGCCTTCCTGGGCTAAAATACTCCCTGCATTACCAGGACTCGTACCTGAGGAGGCTGCAGATGCCCTGAGCAGGCTCACAGAGAGCTCTTTGTCCCTATCAGCTCACCTCCACATTTCAAGTTTCAACAGCAAAGATGCTGGGTCTTTTTGGGGAGGTGTCTTTTCCCCACTGAGATCAGACCTGTGTTGGCGATGTTTGTCCTAGAGACAAGGATGCTCAAGAGGGGCAAAGTCACCCATCGCCTGCTCAGTGCTGCTCCAGGCTATGCTCCATCCCTAGAACTGCCTTTGTGCCCTGAGGGCTGAGGGAATAAAGCATCCCAAAGCCTCAGGATTCTTGCTCATAAATCCAGCCCACAATATCATAGATTTTATGGTGCTGCCAACTCTGGCAATTTTATGATGGGTCTCATGTGATTTGGAAAAGTGGTTTTGGGGTTTTTCTTTAACCTCCCCCCCCAAAGTTTCCAGTTCCTGGAGTCCTGTGATTATACGAGACTCTCAAGGGATTCTGAGTTCCCCCATTACCCCCCCTCACCCTGTTTTTAGTTCTTCATTGGGTTTTAGGCTCTATAATAAAGTTGGAAGGTTTGCTGGAGAGGAAAGTCAGACAGAGACAAGCAATGACTTGTCTGGAGGTGGGTCTAGAACTCGTCACCAGACAAAAAAAACCCACCTTGTTTTTTGAGTTCTCTCTGGAAAAGTGAACACTTTTGCTGTGTTTTTTTGAGTAATAAAATTGTCAATGCTTGAAGTGAATGGAAAAGGTTCAGAAAGTGCCTCGAATAAATTCCCACCCTCAAAAAGTAGAAATATTTTGTTTATGTTTAGGAGATTTTGCTCTTTTGAAATTTCAAGGGAAATTTGTCAACCTGCAGCAGCCGTTTCCGAGTGAAATACTGATGTGTTTCACTTGGAACACATCACACCCGGCGGCTCCGATGTCTTCTGCTTCCTTTGGCTGGATGAAACAAATGCTACAGCCTCAGCGGATGGGTCTGACTGTGCTTTGCTGTGGCTTTTGAAGGCTTTACCCTGCACATGGAAGTATACTCAGAGAAGTCATAAATGCTCCATCCCTGGCAGTGTTGAGGGCCAGGTTGGACAGAGCCTTGGGTGACATGGTCTAGTGTGAGGCATCCCTGCCCGTGGCAAGAGGGTTGGGACTGGATGATCTTAAGGTCCTTTCCAACCCAAACCATTCTATGATTCTATGATTCAGCTACTGTAAAGTACAGTTAAAAGTCAACAAATGTCTGCCATGGTTCTTCCATGAGGTAAATAAAGGCATTTCAATGCACCTACTGTCAGTCAGAAGGGCTGATGGTGGGACAATGATGCTTGTTTGAGCGCCCTGGCAGCCCCTCTCCTGGGAATGCCTGGGCAATGCCCATTGGGAATTTCATTGCCATTGTTTTTTCACTGCCATTGCTGGTCTTTCATTGCCACTGAAAGACTTGTGGGGTTTGCAGCTGCCCTGAGTTAGGCAGCAGCAGCTGGAGACACTCTCCAAGGCTTCTCACCAGCATCATTTCCACCTGGATGAGCACTCCCACCACAGAGAGAAGACAGTGGTTGGGCTTTGTTGTGGAGGTTTTGTATCGGCGGTTCTCAGTGATGCTGTAAGTTCAGTGTTGATGCTGCTGTTGGGAGCACGTTTAAGCACAAGTATGTAAAAACTGGGGATGTGATGAGGAGATGGAAAATAGTCCCTATGAATGGGTTTCTATGTAACCTGTGTGGTGCTCTCAGGGGAATGTACTGTGCTACAAGGCAGGAGGGGTTTGCTCTCTACTTAAGACCTCACAAATGACTTGTAATATGCTCCAAGGTAAAACATGTTGCTTGGATTATGAACAGAAAGTACAGCCCTAAATTATAGGGGCAGAAACCTGCTGTAAGGCATAGTGAGCCCTTTAATAGCAAGGGACTGCGGGCTCCAGTAGGACATCTATAAATGCTGGTGTTGAGATGTTTCTGTTGCATAAAGCCAAACAAATGTACTATAATTTTTATCATCGTGATGATAATAATCTACTGCTGCTCTTCCTCTATTTTATGTGATCTGGCACGTGGAGATCTCCTGTGTGTCTGTACCACTGCAGGGCTTTGTGCTGTTGGGGTATCCTTATCGCTAGCTCTAGGGATCCCAAAGTCATCAGTATTTCACTTCAGCTTTTCCTTAGCCTTGGGCTGTAATGAACCAGAATTTTGGGGTTTGCTCTTGGGATTTTAGGGAAACATTCTCATTAGAAGGGGTTGAGGTGGTCACGATGGAGCATTATTTCCCCCTTTGCTGCCCTTGCTGTCTGGACATCCAAGACATCCTTTATGATCACACCCTTGGACCTGCTGCTTCGGTTCTGCTCATCCAGTTTAGGGTGCAGCTGCTCTTTGCTGCAAGGCTGCATGGTTGACTCATGTTCAACTTGTTGCTCACCAAAACACCCAGGTCCTTTGCTACAAAGCTGCTTTCTAGCCCCCGCCTGTTGGATGGATGGGATTATCCATGCCAGAGGCAGGGCTTTGCCTTTGAGCTTGGTGAGGTTCCTGCTTTCCCACTTCTCCAGCTTGTTGGGGTCTGTTTGAGTAGCATCTCTTCCTTCCAGTGTACTGGCTGCTCCCTCAGTTTGGTATCATCTGTGAACTTGGTGAGCTTGTGCTCTGTCCCATCACCCCGGTCTTTAATATAAGAAGGTATTCGGAAGCATTGGTGCCAGTAGTGACCCTTGAGCGATGCTGCTTGTAGCCAACAAACATCTGGATGTTTTGCTGTGGGTGGTCACTCTTTGCATCTGATGGTCCAGCCAATTTTCCACCCCCCTTGTTGTCTACTCGTCCAGTCCAAACCTCACCAATTTGGACTTGGAGGACACTATAGGTGACTGTCAAAGGCAGTTGCAGGTCCTGATCTTCATCAGAAACTTAGGCTGGGGGGTTGTCCCCCAATATTTTCTCTCTCAAGATCACTGTAAACCTGAGGACATCTGCATGCACCTTCTTCATCTGAGCTTTTAGTTGGAAACACTGCAGCCCACTAAAACACAGGGTGGTTTTTGTGGAGCATGTATCTGGGGAAAGCAAGTCTAGCTGAAGCCTGGTTGAAAAGCTGAGTTAGGATGATGTATTTGCTGCTGTTCAAGTAGTGTTGGCTATTCTGCCTGAGCTTGACGTTCAGTGCTCCTAGGCAGGGAAGGAGAGGGAATTCCAGACTCTGCGAGCTTTTAATTGAAGGCAGAGGGTCAGTGGAGCATGGATGGTCCAGGATGCTGTAAGCAGTCTGGAGCTGGTCAGTGAGTTATGGGTGCGTGTGCCTGGACAGGCACTTTAACAGCCTCATTGAGTGACAGGCACCAGTATTGCTATTGGGTCAATGCCAGTCAAGGTGGTGATGACAAGCCCAGCTTGGCAGTGACTGCAGCACTTGCCTACATGGGGAGCAAGTAATGAGGTTCTGTTTTGGTTCATGTCCAAGTGTCCTACACTGAGGCTATGCAGTGAGGGAAGGAGGCAGCACTGCATAGCCAGGGCCATGGGCCACAGATGAGGCTGCTGGGTGACATTCCAAGCCTCCAAAACCACTTTGCAAAGGAAATTATAACCACTGTTGGATCAGCATGGATAACTACTCTTTTTGGGTGCATTGAGCCAGCACCAAAATGCTGCTTAGGCTTAAAGGACATAATTTGCTTAGCTTACTAAGAAATAATCAGAAACTGTAGTGATAAGACAAGAGGTGATGGGTTTAATCTGAAACAGGGTAAGTTCAAGTTAGACCTAAGGAAGAAGTTCTTTACTGTGAGGGTGGTGAGATGCTGGCACAGGTTGCCCAAAGAAGTGGTAAATGCTCCATCCCTGGCAGTGTTCAAGGCCAGGTTGGACAGAGCCTTTGGAGACATGGTCTAGTGTGAGGCGTCCCTGCCGATGGCATGGGGTTGGAACTGGATGATCTTAAGCTCCTTTCCAACCCAAACCAGTCTGTTATTCTAATTGTACTTTTCCCTCTGTAAACAAATCACCTGAAACAATAAAGTGTATTTCTATGTAAAGTGTCTCCTAGGATAGGAAGCATCAAAGCTGTTATGCTTTGCCATAGAACATTGCCTTTGGGATGGGAGGTGCGGTAGGTCTTATGGTGGTTATTGAATCCTTTTGTAAGGACAACTTGATGTAGCTATTTGTAGAAAAAAGACAATTCTCACCTCAAGCCACCCCAACATCCCAAAATGTCACTCAGCTCTGATCAGTATTTAAAAGAATAACAAAACATGGCAATGTCAGCACTAGGAACCAAAAGGGCCACCTCATTCCTAGCTGTGCTATAGCATTAAAACCCCATCAATCCAAAGAAAGCCTGAAGTATTTCCTTAATGTCTGTCTTTCAGACACTGTGGTTCAGTCCATGCCAATATTTGAAGACTCTTGCCTGTAAGGAAGTGAGCTCTTGGTCTGAACAGGATTACCTCCATATCTCAGGGTATTGCTGATCCTTATATGGGATTATTTTCAATGTTGGCTTGCCTGGGTTCTGCTCGTATTTACACAGCTGTTAATAAAGTACAGGAAAGCTGTGTGTGAGATCTCATCTGATCATGGCAGCTTTTAGGACAACTTTAACAACTTGATCACTTACTGATGGATGGGGCAGGAACATCCTGGTTCGTTAGCTGAGTCCATCTGCGACTCTGTCTCCTATTCCTGGTTGGCAGACAGCTGCTGCTCTTTCCAGGAGGATCGATTTCCAAGAGCAAGAGAGGCAGCCCTGTGTATGAGAGGTGCGGCTAGCTGAGGTGGAGCTGCAGCTATATATAACCTCTATTAAGGCTTAATCTGAAGCCAAATCTGGAGGCTTTGTGAGCCAGGAGAAGTTTAACAGGTACTATTTAAAAAGTGAATGAGCTTGAAAATCTCTTCAAGCCCAGTGTCTTCATACTGAGGACCCTCTACAATATTCAACCTGAAATCTTTAATTCTTTAGGTGCTTGGATTTCACTTATGAAGGTGAAAAATCCCCAGGAGTCAGCTGCAGTGATTTGGTTAGGCTAATTTCTTTAGAAGATTAAGCTGCAATGTACTCTTAGGCCCAGCTAGCCCCTAGCCAAAAGGCTTTATCCATCACTCTTGCCTGCAGTGGGGCTGCTATTGGGATTCTAGTAGGAGGATTCCTGTAGACAGGTTACATATGTTCCCATGCAGGGCTGGATAAAAGGTTTTGTGGGTTTGGTTTTATTTTGAGTTGGAGCCATCCTGATGAAGTTCAATGTAGTGGAAAAGCATTAATTGAATCCTGTGCTGTTGGGTGCCTGCCCTCCTGCAGGACAGATGGGTGGGATAACGAGGGGATGAGTTATTTGTGCATTAATGGTAATAGAAAGCGCAGACTTGGCTTGTGCAACTCATTGCCTGGACCAGTTGGGATTCAATCAAGGACATGATGCTTGCCTGGAGAAAAGGGATTAAATGATAGGATAAAAAGAGTAAAGTGTCAAACCCAGGAAACCTCTCCCCCCCATTCCCTTTGCTTGGGAAAAGACAAGCAAACACTGCTTTATCCTCACACTTAGGAGTGATGCCAGCAGTGCCAGAGGGAGATGCTCTCTTGTATCCCAACCTTTCCAAAGTGCTTAATGTGGCAGGAAAGCAGCTTCTTGGTGACACAACCCTGAGCTGCTCTCTGCTCCCATTGCTCATACCAGTGCTGAAGGGCCTCTTTATCAGTGTCATTGATGACCATGACCTTTCCGTTCAGTCTGTGCTAGAGTTCATGATGCTCTTCCATGCTGGGGAGGAATCGGGCTGGGAGACCTGGCCATGCTTCCTTCCCATCCGCATCCTGCCTTTAGGTGGGATGAAAAACTCTTCAGGCTACCTGCCTCCATTTCTTGAAGCGAAGGAGATGAGGGGAAATGGAGGAAAACCCCTTACATTGCTGTGATTTTTGAGACATAAAAGCTTTTCTTTGAGAGCAAATCCAGTTTGGCTTTTTTTTTTTCTCTCCCTCCTCATGGCATTAGGGCTCAAGAAATTCCTTGGAAAATAATTTGTCAAGGCCCTGACTGATCAAAGACATATATAAAAGGACCCTTTTTTTTGAAAGGGGAAAAAATCCCCCTCCGAGCTCAGAATGAATTGGCAATTCATTTACCAACTGTCAGATAAAGTAGCTCAATCCCTATCACGTCTTTAGCTGGAGCTGTGGCCAGAAGGAAGCAATTCTCGGCCCACTGTGCGTACATGTTTGGAGTATGTTAGTGATTAGAGTATTCCTGCCTGGGGGATGCAGAAAGATATGACTCAGATTCGCAAAAGAGCCATAAATCTCCCTCCTTTTATTCAAAATGTGTGTTTTATAGCCATTTCCTGGCCAATTTCTGCCTCGAATAAATATGTAACATATCTGTGTGTGTATAGTTTTGTAGGTCCAAGAGCTGGGCTCCCTCTCAGGAGTGAGCTATCTGCTCAGGAAAGGTTTGAACATGGTTCTCTGCTGTTCTTTCATTCCCAGAAAAATCCCTCATTGAGCCATAACTGGATGAATGGGGTCCTTGTGGCACCTGCTTCTGTTCTTCATCTGCGGTGGGGTGACCTGGAAAGGGACTGTATGGGAGATAGGATCCAAAGGACCCCAAAAGGTTATCCAGGCCCCAAGGCAGGATCAGCTAGACTGAAAACTGGAATTCTTGGTCCAAAGGATCAGGTAGGATTTTGGTAATCCTTGCTATGAGCCAGGCCTCCCACAGCATTGGATTTGGATGTCAACAGCAAGTGAAGCTCGAAAGCTCCGTAGGTGCTCTGCTAACATCTCATGACTACTGGGGTGATGCTCACCCAGGAGCTGGGATTGCTGCAGTATTGGAGCCTCTGCAGCTGAAACCATGTCTAGTTCCCAATTTATAAGTGACAATATACCTCCACCCCATGGTACCTGTGGGACTGCCTTTCCCCATCTCAAGAGCAGCAGCATCCATGCAACTCTCCCTCCCATTGTTATCCTCCCACCCCACATCCTTCCAACCATCTTGGTGTCTCCCAGTTTACTGCTCACACACCCTCTTTTTCACCCCTGTTTCCCGAATATCATCTCTGGATGATACAGAAAGGACAATGTAGAGGTGAAGGCAACGGTGGCAGGAGGTGGACAGCAGTGCAGGAAAACATAAAGGCAGGGCTATTTGTTTTTAGGTTACCATCATAGGCTGCACAAGTAGAAATCATGCCCCATATATTTTCATATTAATCTTTGGACTCTTTAATTTGATGGGTAATTCTTCATTGAAGTAGTGAAGATGCTCACCAAGAAAAGGCTGAATCATGTTTTCTTCTCCATGTTTAGCCAGATGATGACTTGCAGGAAAAGCAACAGGAACAACGCTGGTCTCAGAGAATAATATCACAAAGCTTTCTGTTGGTGTCCTGCTCTTCCAAGTCATGCAGAAGCCTGATTACCCTCAGTAAAACAACAGGAAAACCCATCCTCTTTGCAAGGAAAGCAGTAAATTTGGGGGTCTGGCATCGCTGATGCTTTATTTTTAGCTCTTCCTTTTAATCCTTTAAGCTCATAGTTCCTTTGTTTCCTTTTCCCCTAAACCAAGAGCTGCAATCACTTGGCCCTGATTCAAAGTCTCAAAGCCAAAGGCAAACCTCCCAGATCCCATGCCAGGGAAGTCTGGTAGGGGCCTAAGGTTTATCTCATAGGAGGCTTGATCTGAAAGCTCCTGAAGCTGGTGGGAATCTTACCACCAACCCAGAGGAGCTTTTTTTACCATGCCCTTAAGCCCACCCTGCCTATCTGAGTGAGTTGTTCTAAACTAACATGTTCTTGTAAGAAATGGTGTCAAGAAGTTTCCTAAGCTTTGATTTAAGGCTAGAATTGATCTCATGTACAGAACGTGATGCCTTGAATACAGGATAAACCAAGAGAGACATAGCAGATTAATGACTGGGGATGATGACAATGTCATTTACTGGAGGGAACAAGATGATCTTAAAGTCCTTTCCAGCCCTAACTATTCTATCTGTATGTACTTTTGCTTTGGATGCTCTTCAGGGCACAGGCACCGTCAGGCTGCTCTTTACTGCTTCTCAGTGATTTCTTTTGGATGAACATGGGCTTCTCATTGCAGGTTTAGACCCTTCCATGAATCCTACCCAAAACATGAATATCCCTGCGACTCCCAAATGCTGGGAGATGTTTATTCCCCTGAATGACTTACCTCTTGACCATTGCTACTACCCCTGCATCAGGCACTACTGCTATTGGTGTCATTTATTAGCAGAAGACATCACTTCTGGGTGCCTCCCACGGGCTGGGGTTAGTAATTCTGTGCCTGGGGGGGCAGTTTGACTTCAAATCAAGAAGCAGCAGGTCTGAAACCCTCCAGGCAAGTGTCTCTTAGCAATGGCTGCAGCTTTAAGCTTGGTTTCCCTGCTCCTCTCCCTCCCCTCCCTGTGGTATCTCCATTTAGGCCCACTCATGTAAACATTTATAAGCACATGATGGTTTTAACAGTGATTCATCCTATTAAAGTCCAAGTGGCTACTCACAGGATGGTTTCCAGAACTAGGCAATAGATATAAAAAGGACCATGACTTTTCTGTGCTATCTCAAGTGGCTAACACTTTAGACACCACAGGCTCAGTTTTAGAGGAGCTGGTCTCCTTTGGCTATATATTAAAGCTGCTCAGAAACAGAGGTGGGTTATTTTCCACCCCTTTTTCTAGACAATTCTTTGTGCTCAAACATCCCAAATAGGTTCAGATTGTTGTGGCAGCACAAGGATTTCAGGCAGCTCCAGTGATGGTTCAGAGCAGGGGGCTCAGAAACGGTCCTGGGAGGAGAAGAGTGGGATGCAGCTTTCTATGCACAGCAAGTTTTTGTTGGTGGGGGTGTGAATCAAGTTGGGAAATACCAACTTTTCCTTTTTTTTGACCCAAAACAGAGGACTTCAGGGCAGCAATAGAGAGAGACCATTTTGAAAATCTTTTCCCCCTCAGCTTGTGATACTTACTGTGCTTTCCCAGCCCAAAAGGGCTCTGCAGGAACATGATGGTGCCAGCTCAGCACAGGCATTTGGGAAGCCACTCGCGTGCCTATCGGAAGCTCCTGGCTCTGTGTGGGGACCACGTGTGCTGCCCTGGAGAAGGCACTTAGCTCTCCGGGCTGCATTCAAGCACTTCAAATGCCACTGTGAAGTGGCCTGTGCACCCAGAGCAGCTCCGTGGCCCCCTGATCTGGGAGCCCCTTTTCAGGCTGGGAGAGGAAGGTTAAACACCTAAATATCAGTGTGCTGCTGCAGACACACCGATGGTGATGTGCTTACATGGTGCTGTCATGCAGCACTTCCCACCACTGCAAGGGTTCACCGGGAGCCTGATGGGATGTAGGGAAAAGCCAGGGAGGATGGAGAATCATGGAATAGGAGGACCTTAAGATCATCCAGTTCCACCTCCCTGCCAATGGCAGGGACACCTCACACTGGACCATATTACCCAAAGCTCTGTCCAACCTGGACTTGAACACTGCCAGGGATGGAGCATTTATCACTTCTTTGGGTACCCTGTTCCAGCACCTCACCACCCTCATAGTAAAGAACTTCTTCGTTATATCTAACCTGAACTTCCCCTCTTTCAGTTTAAACCCATCACCCCTTGTCCTATCACTACAGTCCCTGATGAAGAATCCCTCTCCAGCATCCTTGTAGGCCCCTTTCTATACTGGAAGCTCCTGTTTGTGGAAGATTATCAAAGCTATCTCAGGAATGGGTTGGGTTTGGGGTTTCTTCACACCACCTTGTGCATTTAGGCTGAGAAACCACTTCCCAGAGGGATTTCAGGGGATGGCTGTGTGGTCTTTTCAAGCAGACATGACCTTTGCTGCCCATGCCCTCAGCTGCCTGGACGCCAGCCAGCTCCACACTGGAAGGCATGTAGCTTTGTCAGTGCGGTGCTAAGCATGAGCTATTACCCAAAATAGGAATTAAAAATGCATTCAGTGCTTTTAGAAGTGAGTTTTAAACCGAAAAGTAGGAGGGGTTTGCTAGCAAACAGTGTTTTTCATGTGAGAGTTAGATAAAAACACCCCCCAAAAGTTGTCCAAAACGAAAGCTATGGTAAAATGAATCTTTTTCACTACAAAATGATTCAATGCAGGGAAATGTTTCACTCTTTTGTAATGATTTATCAACTCTCTTCAAATAGAGCAGGCAATTCTAGTTAAAAACTTATTCTATTAAAAACTTATTCTCTTGAGAAATTACATTTTCTCTTCAGAAAATGTTTCAAGGGAATTTCTTTGGGTACCAGGAAAGGGCTCCTGGAGAAATGTAGCTTCATGCTGTGGTGATAGGGAAAAGGAATAGAGAATGCTGATTTTATGTATTTTACATCCAAAATGTAATGGTTTAGATACATTTTATGTATTATATATAATATATTGACATAGATTTTTTATATATTATATATGTAATATATAATATATAAATATATTTATACATAATGTTATATGTATATATAATTTATATGTTTATATATATAGGTTTTACACCTATATGGTATATAGTCTATCAAATATATTTACCTGTTTGATTGATGGACAACCAGACACTGAGGTAGGGATGCTAACGTAGTATCTTTGTGGGATACAACCTCATGAGACATTCAAGGAAGATCTCCATGCACCATTGAGACTTGTGCATAAAGGAAAGCGGTAGCAGGGTGTCAATGTGGAGAACACACAAAAGTCAAAGCCCCTGAGCATGGTCAGGCAGGTGGTTTAGGAAGAAAGAATGAGAATCAAGAGTTGCCAGGGAAAGCCTGGAGATGATGGTGGTAAGGTTGGGTGAGGGAACACCTGGGGAAGATTGATGAGGAGCTGGCCAATGCTTGTGTGTGATTTACGAGGCGTGGTCCTGGCTGTAGCAGGAGTTCTTTGGAGATATTGCTGCTATGGTGCAGGACAAAGAACTCCTGGATGCAATGTAGTTACTGGATTGTCAAACATCACTTGATAAGGTTCCACAAGTGAGATTATTAGCTTAGTGAGGGAGAAACAGAATATGAAGTCAAATCAGCTGTGGGGCAGAAACCGTAGTTCTCTTTATGCATCCAATTCAATGTGTATGTATACGGATGTATCTATGTGTATCTCTCCATCTGTCTGCCTGTCCATCTACCTATTTACTCAGCCAACATCAGTCATTCATGATCCTCCCTCCTGGCAGCTGGGAGCAATTCAGTGGGGTGGAGGGCTGGCTTCTTCAGCTGGGAGAAGGTTATTTCAGGGGCTTTCAGGATGTCCCTTGAGACTTCAGCTTTCTGGTGAAGGAGCAGCAAGGAGAGGGAATGTTCTGATGGAGCTGAAATCAGGAGGATGGTGTTTGAAGACCCAGGAGCTGGTGAGTAGCCCTTTGGACATGCTGGCTGGGAATAATGCAGCAAAATTGGGTACAACCTGGGTGCTTATATCCCAGTAATTGTGAGTACAATGCTTCTCACCTTTATTCCACTGTGCTTTGTAGATCTGACCTGGTACCCACCCAGAGTGGCTCCCCTTGGAGTAACTGCAATGGCAGAAATTAAAGCAAATACAACTGGGCTGTGCTCTCACCCCATCTCTGCTCCTCTGCATCTCCTCTGGGGCTTCTACCCTTTCTTTTTCTCTTCCACTACCATAATTTTCTGTCCAGAGCCTTCCCAATC